ATGGAATTTTAAATGCATCAGTGGCTATTGGAATAAAGAGAGGTCAGTATTGAAAGGGGTGCGGAGGAAAATGCCTTGTTCATAGTTTTAAAAGTTGACACAACTTAGGAATAAGAATGCACTCTCTGGATTGTTTTGGTCAAATGCTTTCCTGAGAGAAATGCTTATAAAATAAGTGGATACACCACCTAAGAATTTCAACTAGGTACTACTTCTAGAGCTCTATAAGGCCCTTTGAAATAATACTGTTTTAAAAAATCAGATTTATGAATTGATATAAATCATCCAATTGTAATAAAAACAAGGAGCAGGTTTTAATCATTCCAGCAGATACCCACATATCAATAAATTAAAGAGACAAGCATCCCAAGCCATGGCCACTGTGTTGATTGGAACTCAGAGTGATCCTATGTGGGGTTTCCTAGACTGCAGTCTGTGTGGGAGCAAGAACCCTCACCCTTTCCTGACAGCACCACCAGGGCTCTTCAGGAGGGAAACATTGCCCGGCTAACCATCTTCCAGGGAAAAATTTGCATTTAAAAATGATCTAATAAATAAATAGAAAAATGGAGGCCTAAACACGGGCACTTGTAGCATATGGAGTTGGACGTATTGATGCTTAGCGTATGAAGGTGTCAGGGTATGGTGACCCCTTTTCTGGGTGGATCCCGTGCTGCTGGTTTCTTGCCAGGAGCCATGGCATGGTGGCCATGCAGACAGCACACGAACAGGAGGAGGCAGAGCGACAGGATTATTGGGCAGTAAAATCAGGATACATGGGGTGCAGGCCCCCAGCAGGTCTATACTATTGAGAGGGCAAAGGAGTGAGACATAACCCAGAACTAACAGGCATGTATATTATCTACATTTATATCTATATCTATGTCTCTGTCTATGCCTATGTCTGTCTGTCTATCTATCTATCTATCTATCTATCTATCTATCTATCTATCTATCTATCTATCTATCTATCTACCTACCTATCTATCTATCTGACAGGGGCCATTGAGCTCGGGGCTGGGGTTTTTCAAAATAAGATGGCTTTCACTAGTTGGCTGTGACTCAAGCGGTGGTCCCTGGTTGCCTGGGATTCAACTCTGTCCTTATCTGGCAGGGTCCTGGGAGGTCAGACTCATGGGTACCGGCCTCTTGTATCTGGTGACTTATCAATCAGAAAGGTCACGTGCCTTTTCTGTTCTTGTTAAAAGGGCAGTCAGAAAGCCCTTTCCCGTCGTATGCTGACAAATACGCCAGCATTCTCATTTGTAAGTATTCATACTTGCGACTCAAGTTGCAAATAATTTTTAGTATAGTTGCTGTCTGGTAAGGGAAACTGGTGGTTCCCGGGTAGAATTTGTGGCTCCTATACCGGAGATGGAGGGTTGATACCTGGCGAATGCTTTGCATACACAGTTGGTGTCTTTATGTCAGTGGAAGTTTGGGTATTTTCTGTCTTGCTGAGCAAGTTTCAAGGGGGTTACCAGGCCAAGAAAGGCCTAGTGATCTACTTTGGCAAAGTGGCCAATGAAGGGCCTATGGATTACAGTGATTGTTCTCTCATGCAAATGCGGTCACATGTTGGGGCCAACCCAAGGACAGCTGGAAACAATAATTGCGAATCGACTCAACAATAGTGGGTTGAGATAGAATATTGATTGGTGCCTATTTGTCCTTTCCTTTCTTCAGGAAATGCCAGGACGTTGAACGCAGTCTGCCAAGGCCTCGTGGTGCTTGAAATATAAGAAAGTAGATGAATAAATTCATAAAAAAACTAAGTAAACCATGTGGCTACTAAGGTTCCAGTTCATATATGAATGGGTCTATTTCAGATGAAACATTTAGCCGTGTGCTTGCAATCAATAAATGGATACAGACCAGTAAGACACCTGTCTTAGTCTCCTGATGGTGTCTTTCAAAAAGGTCTAATCGAAGCAGAGGCTTCCAAAGGCCTCTGTACAGTTACTCTGTACAGAGTACTTTGTACAGTTACTCTGCTGGGCTAGTTACTCTGCTGGGCAGAAAGGTCAGCTTCAGAAGGCTAGGGTGAGTTTTTCTGTTTTCTAATAGCTTTTCTTGGCCTATAATTCACATATCATACAATGTAATAGTTGATTAATATTAAAAAGAGTTGTGCCATCATAACCATAATCAATTTCAGAACCTTTTCTCCCTTCTCATACTCACCATTACTAGCTCTCCATCCCTGCCCCCCACAAATCCTCACCCCTAGCCAGCTGCCATCTCTAGCTAATTATTAATCAGTGACGGTCTCTGTAGCTTTCCCTCTCCTAGATTTGTATACACAGAACGTCATATAAAACACAAACAAGAAACAAACAAAATAACAAAACAAAGCAGAGGAAAACCCTCAATTGAAATGAAAGCAGAAACTATTAAAAATGGAAACAACTTTAAAATGGGTCCAACAGGAGAGAAATGAGAATGTGTTACATTTAACCTAACTACCACTGCCAGAATAGCTTTTATAATGGTCAGAGGGGATTCAACTGAGGCTTAATCTGTGTGGGGACCCTGAAAATGGATTTTGTGCTTCTGCAATGGTTAATGATTTGGGGTGATCCCAATTGGGTAACCCGACAGGCTTTCTTACAGGACAAGAACAAGTAGGTGGTCTTGAAAGAGTCTATTATGTAATCTCCAGGTTCCTTTCCCTCACCAAAGTCATCTTTTCCAAGTCCTCTTCCTTCCTCTTTGTATCTAACTTTCACATCCCAGTTGCCAATAATTATCAATGTCTTTTGATTTCAAACCTGGAGCTGTAATATTGAACGATTCCAGAGCTTTCTGGATAAGATATTGAATGATGGAGGAAGCAGCCAAAGAAGATGGAAAGAATTCAGCCATTGTACCAAAAAGAACTCGACATTAAACCATTTCAGGATGGAGCATATGATCAAGAACCGATGGTACTGAAGGTAGAAATGCAAGCAGCAATAGAGGCATGATCCAGAAAGGAGCCTCCAGGAATTGATGGGCCACCAATTGACATGTTCCAACAAGCTGAGGAAGTACTGGAAGTACTCATTCCTCTATGCCAAGAATTTTGGAATACCTGGTCATCTGACTGGAAAAGATCCGTATTTGTACCCATTCCTAAAGAAAAGTGACCCAACAGTATGCACACATCATTGCATATCACATGCAAGCAAAATTTAGATGAAGACCATTCAGCAATGATGGAAGCAGTACATTAACTGGGAGCTGGCAGACATTCAACCAGATGCAGAAGAAGACAAGGGCATATCATTGTCAATGTCAGATGGATCTTGTCTGAAAGCAGAGAAGATCACAATGACGTTTATTTACTTGTGTCTTATTGATTATGCAAAGGCACTAGACTGTGTGGATCATGACAAACTATGGATGCCATTGTGAAGAAGAAAATCCCAAAACACTTCATTGTGCTTATGTGGATCCTGTATATGAATCAAGAGGCAGTTGTGGAAACAGAAAAGGGAATGGTTTAAAACAGGAAGGTTGCTTCAGGATTGTACCCTCTAGCATTATTATTCAACCTGTTTATTCAGTGAATAACCAGAAAAACTGGATTACATGAAGAAGAATGTAATATTGGACTTGGCGGACAGCTAATTGACAACCTGCAATATGCAGTTGATATAACCTTGCTTATTGACAGTAAGGAGGAATTAAAGCAATAGCTTTAATTCAAAGATAATAGCCTTCAGTACATACCCTGTTTCCCTGAAAATAAGACGGTGTCTTATATTAATTTTTGCTCCCCAAAATGCGCTAGGTCTTATTTTCAGGGGCTGTCTTATTTTTCCATGAAGAATATGGTACACATTTATTGTTTATTGTTTTATTAAAAGAGACCTCGCATTTCCTGTCTGCTCCGGCTGCCCTGCGGCCAACAGTGAGCTGCGTGGTGGCGCCCGCTGCTACGGTCCAGAGTCCAGAGTTACTGTAACTTCAGGGGGCCTTATTTTCGGGGGGGGTGCTTTAGATTTCAGTGAGAGGCAAAACTGTCAGTAGGTCTTATTTTGGGGGATGTCTTACTTTCGGGGAAACAGGGTAGTATAACTCAATGCAAAGAAAACTAATAAATCCTCACAAGAAGACCAATAGATCTTGATAACAGAGAGCAGATTGAAGTCAACAATTTCATCTTCTTTGGATCCACAATTGGTGCTCACGTAAGCAGCAGCCAAGAGTTCTATTGCACATTGCGTTAGGTAAATCTGCTGCACAATATCTCTTGATAGTGCAAAAGGTCCGAATGTTACTTTAAACACTAAGGTGTGCCTTCCCCAAGCCATGGCCTTTCAATTCCTTCAAGTACATGTGAACGTTGGACATTGAATAAGAAAGGTAGGAAGGTGGACATTGAATAAAGAAGACCATACCATTTAAATTATGGTACTGGCAAAGAATATTGAAAGTCTCATGGGCTGCCAAAAGGATATACAAATCTTTTCTGGAAGCAGTACAGCCAGAATGCTTCTTAGAAGCAAGTATGACAAGCATTTATCCCAACTATTTACTATTTAGGACATGTTATCAGGAGGGACCAGTCCCTGAAAAAGGACATCATGCTTGGTAAAGTAGAGAGAGGCTTAAAAGAGAAAGACCCTTGACAAGATAAATGGACACAGTGGCTGCCACAAAGGGCTCAAACACAGGGGCAAATGTGAGGCTGGCGCAGGACCAAGCAGTTTTTCCTCCCTGTTGTTCATGGGGTTGCGACGAGAAGGAATCAATTTGATGGCGCCTAACAACAACCACCCTACCGCAAACAATTCTGCGCGCTTCAATTTCTACTGCCCAAACAGCAATGGAGGCATCTTCAAGGGGATCAAGTCACGTGCCTTTTCTATATTTTTTTTGCGTTGAGGGGGTAAAAAGAATTCTCAAGGATCAGATTCCCCAGTGTAATTCTCAGAGGACTTCCCTTGCTACCCTCCAATATTTTATGATAGAAAAAAGGTTTCCTCAGTACCACTTTCCTGGCCTTTTCTTACCGGTAGAGTTTCCAATATCCTTAAAACGTCTTCATCAGTAAGCTCCAGGATGGTTCTATGAGAAGGCAGCTCTTCGTCAGGCATCTTTTGAATGTCTTCCAACCCAAGGTACACATCTTCTGGCACCATATCTGACAATGTTCTAATGCTGTTTGTCAGGTTTTCCGTGGCTAATTCTTCCAATGTGAAGAGCCTAGTCTTTATTAGCACTATGTTCTTCGTCTGGAAGCTCTGCAGAAACCTGCTATTTTGGGTGACCCTGCTGGTATTTGGAATGCCAGTGATCTAGCTTCCAGCATTGCAACTACACACAAGCCACACACTACAGACAAGTGGTCGAGTGGAAGATTAGAGGGGTGGAAACACTGCATTCAGAAGTATGTAGCCCTAGCCGGAGGATAGGTTGAGGAACAATAGTTTCATGTTTTGCATTTTTTTGTTTAATTAAGGTTTATGGATTTTGTAGCCGTATTCTTTTACTTCCCCTTGCATATACATAGGAGCCCTGGTGGCACAGTGGTTGTGTGCTGGTCTGCTAACTGCAAGTTCAGCAGTTTGAAACCTCCAGGGGCACCATGTGGGAAAGATGGGGCTTTCTACAGCCATAAAGCATTACAGTGTCAGACACCCTCTGGATGTCACTCTAAGTCAGTATCAGCATGAACTCAATGGCGGTGAGTTTGGTATCGAAGCTTAAGCGCTCATGAAGCACTTGTAAGATATTATGAAAATCAAGGCATGCCTATAAAAAGCAAGGAACCTGTCTCAACCACAACAGATTGCAACAGATTCTCTTCACTAGGGAACTCACAAGTGATGAAAAACACAATAGAAATTTTTTATTTTCTCAATATGCTATTAATTAAATTATTATAGAAAGCTATGCCTCTCAAATCTCCAATCTTGTTTTTGTTTTCTTCTCAAACAAATACTGGCTTTCTTGTTGTAAGGTGCCTGGAAATGGTTTTCTTTGGAATTTGATTTTTTTATTTTTATCTCCATATTTATAAAAGAAGAAACATACTGTGATTTAAGGGACATTGTGGTAGTCTGGGTACTTTAGAGAAACAAATCCACAGAAACTCATGTATAAGAGAGAGTTTTATATAAAGGTTAAGTGCACATCAAGAAAACATCCCAACTC